CATTATTTAAAAACGTTATTTATATTTTAACGAATGCAAATTTTCCATTGCTGCAGTTGAAATTGAGTTTTTCTAATTAAAATAAACGACAGCAACAGCAAAAACAAAAAAAAATGTAAACAGTTGTGTAATAAAGGTAATGAAAAACAAAAACAAATCAGCTGTAAATTATCATTATTTACTTATTTATTTATTTTTGCAAGTTTTTTGTTTTTTTTTTTTTCAACAAAACGAAAAGTTTAAATTAATAATAATAATAATGATAATAATTAAGTGAATTTTTAAATTTTCTCGATGAAAAGTACGAAGCAGAGTCTCTTTAAAACGATAAGAAGAGGAATGATAGGAATCATTGAATAAGCCGACCATAAAATGTGAAAAAATTTTCTCAATAAAAGGTGAGAAGAGGGAAAGTGGTAAGAAAAGAGAATGAAAGAGAGGGAGTGTTTAAAACGTGGCAGGAGAAAGAAACGGAAAAAAATTTTATTTAAATAACAAACAAGTAGGAAAAAAAAAGAAAAAATTGACATACATTTTTAACTATTTTTTACTACGTCGTCTGCCTACACTAATTTTAATATGCCAATTTTATACGACTTTAACTCCGGACTTTTTTCTTTTTTTTATTTCACTCATTAAAAATGTTAAATTTTTTTTTTTAATTTTGACATTTGCGACAGCTGTCGCACATCTAAAAAAAAAAATTTTCGCTTCCTTTTTTTATTCGTTTAAAACCACGTCTTTTGAATATTAACAATAATAATAACAACGTATATAAAATTATTAGTATTAATATTAGCAAATTAGAGTAAATTTGAAAATTAAATCATCTCAACTGGATTTTTTTTTTTTTTAAAATAAATTTCCTGTCGAAAATGATAATAATAATAAGTAATAATAATAATAATTTTTTCTGCATTTCCTGTCATGTGTAAAAAAAAAAAAAAAAAAAAAAATAAGAACAAACGGAAAAAAAATTTTTTCTTTTTGTCGGATTAAGAAATTATACTAATTTTTTTACAAAAAATTTCTGTCGTTAATTTTAAGTAATTATGTTTAATTTTACAATTACGTTCACATCACATTAATTATAATAAAAAGTATTATTATTATTATTATTATTATTTATGCATTTTGCCGAATGAATCATTATTCATTGACAAAAAAAAAAAAGTTAATTTATGTACGTATCATCATTGTACAAAATTTATTTTTTGATCATTTTCAACAACATCATCATCATCATCATTATTATCATCATCATTATCATCATCTTCATCATCTCATTCAATCCCACACGCACGCATACACGTCACAGAAATCATATCTCGAAAAAGAAAGAATTTAAGCTAACAAAAAAACGTTTTTGATAAAGTTCGATCACACACACACACACACACACACACACACACACACACACACACACACACACACACCGGAGTAACATAATCGTTGTTGTTGTTGTTGTAAGAAGATTGTCGTAATCTGTGTAAAAAAAAATTTTCCCTCCCCCAAAACATAACAAAAAAAAAAAGAAAAAATGTATATAAATACCACACGTAATATTAGTTTGGGCACGTATTTACCCACCATAATTCAAAACCATGACCAACAACCAGGAATCTCTCTCTCTCTCTCTCTCTCAGATAACGGGAAAGTTAAACGACTCGTACGTAATGAGGACAAGAAGTGTATAAGGAAGTTAGGAAGAGAAGAATCGGTTATGAAACAAGATAAACGTTATTATTATTATTATTCTTCTTCATCCATTTAAATTTTTTTTTTCTGTTTGTCGAATCCTTTCACAACAACAACAACAATAATAATATTTATATCAAGGTGGTAAAGAAAAAAAACGGTGGCTTTAATACATACAAACATTTCTTTTATCTATTGCATAGACGCATAAATAAAAAAGAGAGAAAGAGAGAGAGTGTGAGAGAGTGAGAAAATAACCAAAAATAAAAATTGTCAAACTGGATAATATTTATTAAATGTCTGACCTTCAAAAAAAAAAAAAAAGCCGGATCAACTTGAAATGAAGAGAGGGCAAAACAATAAAACAATAAATCTAGTGGAAAAAAAAAAAAAAAGAAAATCCAGTGCCCCCATGTTGAAGGCCTTGAGCCACAAGGTGAATTAGTATTTTTTTGCTAAATATATTTTATTATTATTATTCTTTCAGTCTTCTGGTAGATTTCATTCAGAGGTGATGCGTTAAATAAACTTTTTCTCTTCTTTTCTTTTTTTTTTTTTTATCATAAAATTTTTTCGTTTTCGGAAAAAAAAGAAAAAGAGGAAAATTTATGCGAATTTTCTTATAATACGCGAACGGCGGGTATATTTTTTTTTCAAATATACGTCACTCGTTGGTGGATTAATAATAATAATAATAATTTTCTTTCTTTCTCTTTCTCTCTCACGTAAAGGTAAGAAAAATTGGTGAAAAAAATATTAAAAAAAAAATTTGTGACGTTGAAAATTGTAGTGAAAAGTTTTCTTTTTTTGTTGTTGTTGTAGTGTTATTTTCGCGATTGTTTTATTAACTACAATCGTAATTATTATTATTATTATTATTATTATTATTATTATTATTATTATTTATTATTATTATCATTATTATTATTATTATCATTATTATTATTATTATTATTGAAAACACCTTGAAAAAAAATAATGAAAAGAAAAAAATTAATCGTCTCGTCAATGATTTTAATTAATATGACCATTTCATTAAAATTTTTTTTTTTTTTTTGCATTAGAGCGAATAGGAAGCCATTTTGATTTTGATTTCCCCTTCCTCGCCTTCTCTCTCCCCCTTCCTCCTCCTACACCCCCGTCCTCATTCCTTTTAATTTCTATCTAACCCGCCTTTTGTTTTGCTGCCCCCCTTAATTTAAATAATGGCCGTCCGTTTTTTTCCTCTCTTTCTCTCTGTCTCTCTCTCTCTCTCTCTCTCTCTCTGTTTTCCGATTCTAATTCTGGGTGTTTTAATTCATTTTTTTTTGTGTGATGCTGACGTCAACTTTGAACCGAACTGACCGAACGTTAAAAAAAAAAAAAAACGTTAATGTTAATGTTAATTCGATTATAAACAATTTAGGCTGTTGCTTTTTTTTTTTTTTTTTGTTATTTTCTAATGGTTTTGGTTTAGCGCTGGCAGCAACAGACGAACGACGACAGTAGTAGGAAAATACATGACAAAGGAGACGGTTGTTGTTGTTTGTTGATTGTTGTACAAACGTGTATTAAGCGTTCGAATGTTACGCAAATAAAACCATCGTGCAAACCCAAAATTTTAAATAATCGCGTGTGAATAATAATCGTTTACATTTTTTTTTTTCGCGTTATTAAAGTGAAAGTTTTACGAGTTATTAATAATAATAATAATGAAACAACCTATGAATTATTATCATTATTATTATAGGGTAATAATTTATTTATTCATTTTTTTTTTTTTTTAAATAATTAATGAAGAAAATTTGTTGAAGGATTGATTAAACAAAAAAAAAAATTTTCTTTTAATCACGATTGTGTACTGACTTTATTATTATTATTATTAATTATTTTTACCGTTATTTTAAATTAATTAATCACCTCGCGGTGATATGCGTAAAGTGACGTCATAAAATGATTGATGTTTTTCCGACATTTTTTTTTCTTGTTTGTTTGTTTTTGTTTTCCACCTTTTCCTCTTCTCATCTGTGACCGATGGTTAATTTAATTTAATTTAATTTAAATTATTATTATTATTATAATCGTGAGCGAAAAAACAAACAGACAACCAAACAAACAAACGATTTCTTAATTAGTTAATAAATAATAATAATAATTGTTAAAAATTATTTTTAAAAAATTTATTATAAAAAATGGAAAATTGATAAATTTTATTTTATAAACGTCACCCATACGAACGACGACGACGTTACTACCAAATAAGTAAAAATCTCAAACGATGTGTAATTAATAATAATAATAATAATAATGATAATAATAATGATAACATTTATAAAAAAAGTAAAATCGAGTTTTGAATTTTTTAAAAAGTAAAAAGTGTTCGGCCGTGAACGATTTTTTAAATTTACAAAAAGTAATAATTAATTATTTTTAAATTTCGATAACATTAAAAAAAAAAAAAAATTACGAAAATTTTTATGTTGAAAAAAAAGGGAAAATGGCAATGAAATCTTGCGCGTTTTTATTTAACTTTTTATTTTTTTTTTTTTTACGCTTGCGTGACCTAATTAATAATAATAATAATAAAATTTTTTATATTTGGCTCGGAGTGATTTTTGCCAGTTTTTTTTTGAGGGGAGGGAGGGCTTTTCTTTAATTTTTTTTTTTTTTGTTAGGTATTGAAAAAAGGCGAAAGATTTTAAAGTCGTCATCGTCGTCTCGTCCCCCCACTCATTTAAACTGATATAAATATTTACTGATATCAAACCTAAATTATTATTATCTTATCATTTTGTCCTTTGATGTAGTATTATTATTATTATAACGTAATATTTGTCGAAGAGGCGGTGCGGGACGGGCGAGGGGGGGGGAAAGAAAAAAATCATTTTAGTCGTTTCTTTACACAGCATATTTTCAAATTTTTTATTTTTTATTTTTATTTTGTTATTAAAAACTTCCTTGTTATTATGTCAAGGAAAAATTTATAAAAAAAAGAAAAATTTTTTTTTTTCAAAGTTGATGATGATGATGATGATGACACGTTGCAACACCTCGTGACTTTTTGTATTCGTTAAAAAAAAAAAAAATTTTCTTGTCGCGCGTTCGTTGATTGAATATTAAAAAAAAAATAAAAAAAATAAAAAAAAAGTTGTCGTTGGTTTTTAAAGTTTGTTTAAATAAAAAAATAATTTTTTTTTCGAAAAAGAGTGAGAGAGAGAGAGAGAGTGTGTGTTGAACGATAATTGATGGAATTCATCCCCTAAAAGAGGTTTTCGTTGTTGTTCGATATGAATTTACTTAATAAAACGCGATGGAAAATCAAAATGAAAGCGGGGGGTTTTTTTTTTGTTTACGTTCGAAAAAAATAAATAAATAAATATTTGTGTGTGTGTGAGAGAGAGAGAGAGAGAGAGAGAGAGAGAAGGTGGTTTCATGAATTTTTCGATGAATAGAATTAATAAATTTTAGGACCAACCCTTGTCGAGATACGCAGACACTTCGCAAACAATACATCATCAATTGGGAGAAAAACAAATTCGCACTTTTCCTTCCGTTGCCAATATACTAGAAGAAACAACAACAAAAACTCAAAAAGTCACACAAAGGAATTGTCAAACGCTACCGATAAAACCTTCTAAAAGAAATTTTGTAACGGTAAGAAAGTTGCAAGTGAGAAAAGAAAAGAAAAAAAAAAGAAAATGGCTTCTAATCAAAAAAAAATAACATAATAATTTTGCTGCTTTGCGATTGTGTGTGTTTGTTTTTTTCCTAACAAACATTTTTTTGCGTTTTATATCATTATTATCATTCCGACTAACTGTTAGTTCAAAGAGTAATCACACGCAAGGACAAATACTATATACTCTACACTCCTTAAAATTTTTAAGATTGTCTATTTCTCAGCTATTTGACCTTCCCTACAAACGCACACGCACGCACACCTTCAGGCCAGCTAACCAGTCAGCCAACCAATCAGCCGCATTTAAAGGTCGAGATGACACTTTTACGTAACGATTATATTTTTTTTTAAAAAAAAAAAATAAGAAGAAGAAACATAATCGAAACGCGTTCTTCTATCAACAGAATATCGATAAGAAATGTTTGTTTGTGAATAAAATTTTGTTGTGCGGAAACGACGCATGTGTGCTCACGTCAACACCGGCCCCCCAACAAAAAAACCCTGTGTTTCGTTAAAATGTCTTCTTTTTTTTCGTGACCGGTGACATAGATAGATCGCGCATTTGTTGTCCGTCAAAAAAATTTTCATCATGTATTTAATACGATCGCCGTCAGTCATTTAATTTAACGGAAATAATTCTCCGATCGATATATTAATTCATGAATGACCTTGAACGTTTTTTTTTTTTTTTTTTTTTTTTTAAATCCTGTTTTTATAATAAAAAAAAAAAAAAAGATTTAAAAATCTACTACTATCGTCTTGTCAATGTTGTTGTTGTTGTTGTGAGTTTGTTTTTTATCAGAATTATCATAGTAGTAACTAAGAACTGGGGAAAACTCATCGTTTGTTTTTCTTTTTTTTTTTTTTTTTAAATGTGATTTTAATACCGTGTAGTCGATGGCGTCGTCGTTAAATAAATGCGTGTGCGTAAATAATAATAATAATAAAATTTTTTTTTTCAAAAGTTGCGCAAACATCGATGACAAAATCGAAAAGTTTTCTTTTTCTTTTTTTTTTTTTTTTGCTATTGTCAATAGGATTGTAATGCTAAGTAAGTATTTCATGTTACGAAACGACGTATATCGTTTAAAAGTATTATTATTATTATTATGTTCGTGTAAATATGATAATTTACCGATATTGTTATCACACATTATTATTATTATTATTATTATCATATTTTACGCATAATTCGAAAAAAAAACGCGTACGAAAATGGCATTCACGCCCCTTATTATAATTTTTGTTTTCGTTACTTCAAAGAGGTATAATAATAATAATAATAATAATAATAATAATACCGGTACGTGTAATAATGATAATAATAATAATAACAGTAATAATAATTACTTTTAATACAGTTTTAATAATGATTACGCTTTTCTTTTTTTTCCCAAGTAAAAATTTTAAAAACGTAACAAAAAAAAAGAAAAATTATTACTCGCGGTTTTTAGTCGAGGGGGCTCCTCCCTCTCCTCCCTCCTTTTTTTCTCAATGGCGTATTATTATTATTATTATTATTTATTAGTTATGGAATAATTGTTACCGAGTCAAGGTTTTTTTTTTTTTTTTTTTTTTTTTTTTTAATATTTCCAAATCGCCGGGTTTTTAATGTTGTTACGGTTGTGACGTAATAAGAGTAATAAAAAGTTTCAAGATGGTTTCACTAATCTATTTCAAATGGTAAATAATTTTTAGAGAGAGATAGATAGAGGTAGAGAGAGAGAGAGGGAGGGAGAAGCACTCACTGCCAATAATAATTTTTCTGAAAAAAATTATTTTTAGTCGTGCCGACATTGGGCCAACAATTATTACGTGTAAAACAATTTTTTAATTTTTTTAGTGGAAAATAAAAAAGTTTTACGAATCGGTCACGGTTAGTTAAATAACAAAAAAAAATTTTTTTTCTTAACTTTTTTTTTAACTCGATCCAAAAATCGAAAAAAATGGCGGGAAAAATAAAAACGAATTTTTTTTTTAATTAGAGATTTTTGTATTAAAGAAAAATTAAAAAGGGAGCAAATAATTGCGAGGTCGTCGGGGTATTGCTCAATCGTTTTTTTTTTTTTCTTTCCTTTGGCCATTTGCTGACCAGGTCAATATTATTTAAAACGTTTTACACGATGATGATGATGATGATGATGTGTGCGTAAATGATGCGGAATGTGTTATTGCGTTTTAAATAATAATAATGATGATATTTCGAATGATTTTGTCGAATTCGTGAGGGAAAAATGAAAAAAAAAAAAAATTTTATGTAATCGCGAACGAAAAAAACGTTTTTCCTTTTTTCTTTTTTTTTACTTTTCCACATGCACGAAAAAGGTCAAAGGAAGAGGAAGAAAAAATAATAAATAAATAAAAAAATAAAAAAAGAAAGAAAGAAAATAGGACGATTTTGGCGTCTATGAGGCGTGTCTCAGCAACAAAACTGCTTACATAAGAATCCGTTAATCACATATAACAACGAAAAGCTTGAAAAGCGCAGTTTTCTTTTTAACTTTCTATCGTTAACAACAACCACAACGACAACAACAACAACTACAAACAAATATTCGTTTTCAATATATTTATTAAAAAAAAAAAAAAATAATTACGGTAATAATATTACAAAAAAAAAAAGGTGAAATTTAATTTCGTTAACCCGAAGGGAAATTTTTTTAATTACTCTCTCTCTCTTTTTTTCTCACTCCCCCTCTCTCTTTCTCTCTCAAACAGGTATTTAAAATTAATTATTATCATTATCATTTTTTTCATATGCTTGCTTGTATCGCTTTTTGTTTGTTTTGTTTTTTTTTTGCTTTTGAAAATTACATAAATTAATCCGGGTTTAAAAAAAAAATTGTGTTGTTGTTATTATTATTATTATTTAAGGTTTGTTGTTTAACAGAAAAAAAACAAAAATTAAAACGGTTTAATAGATTTTGTCACGTGATAAATAAATTTAATAAATAAATAAATAAATAAATGATATATAATTAAATCAAATTAAAAATACGTCGGAATTTTTATTTTTTTTTAAAAAAATTTATCACCGGATATTTTTATAAGAATTTCATTATGATGGATTAAAACGCGAGACGATGATAAAAGTCAAACAAACAAACAAACAAACGAACAAACAAACCGAAAATATTTTATTTTAATTTTTAATTTTTTTCAATGCGGATGTGTTTGTTTATTTCGTTGGGTTTTTTTTTTAGGGAAGGAAAATTTGGCAAATTTTAAATCGCGAGTTTGATTAATACGTTTGTCCATTTGTTCATTCGTTTGTTTGTTTGTTTGTTGGTGGGAAAGGAAAAAGTTTTTAAAGGAAAGGAAAAAAATGTTTTTTAAATGTAAGTTTGTGTAAATCGAGTTTGCAAATCGTTTTCGTGTATTTTTTTTTTTTTTTTGGGAAATTTTCCATTTACACGACGCCATATTATTCTGTCTTCTGCTTTTTTTTCATTCATTCGCCAAAATATAATAAATTTAAAAGGGTATAAGGATTGTTGTTTATCATTTTCAATTTTTTTAAATTAATAATAATAATAATAATAAAAATGGGAAATTCGTGCCAAGGAAAATATTTCGCAATCTTTTTTTTTTTTTTTATTTGAGTGATAAGAATAATATTTAACCAAATTTTTTATGTTATTCGGTCGGTATCTTATCTTAAAAATCATTAAAAAAAAATTTGTGACAAACAAACGACAAAATGTAATTAAAATTTATGCTGGGAAATTTTTGTAGGTTAAAAGAAACAACAAAAAAGTTTTTTTTTTGCGAAAAAATTTTCTATGCAACCCCCCCAACCATAAGGAAAAGCATAAAATTTATCATTCGATGACACGATTAACCTTAGATTTAAATTTACTTTTACTTAATAATAATAATAATCGTCATTATTTACCCGTTTTATTATTATTAATATTATTTATCTAACTGTTACTCTCTTTAAAAAAAAATTCGTTTAATCATGGTGAAGGTAAAAATTTTTAAAAAACAAAAACTCGTTTTTTTTTCTTATTCTTCTTGCCCAAAATTGTCGCGTTTAAGTGTAGTGGTTGTAGTGAAAAATAATTTTTTTTTTGTTGATGATGTGACGTGGTTATAATGAATAACACCACTTTTAAAAAAAAAACACCTTCGGATATTATTTACACGACATATTAAATAAAAAATAAAAAGATATAAATTAATTTCGATTTGCGACATTTTTTTTTTTTTAAAAAAATCTGTTTCGTATTATTTTACTTTAGAGTATTAAAAATGGTGGCTTTAAAAAAAAAAAAAAAATTTCAGACCTTCGACATCAACATTTTTGTTGTTACGACGATCGAGGTCACGACAAAGACGACGTCGACCACAATTTAAAAAAACTTTTTTTTTTTTTTTTTTTAGTCGTTAGCGACCTTTTTAATATACATTTACGTACATAAATTTTTTTTTTTTTCTAAGTCGTCGCACACGCACGCTAGCACGCACGCATGCACGCACGGAGACCTAACCCGTTGATAAAAAACTTGGGCAATCAGGTTTTCGTTTGCCCCTTATCAAAAAAATATTAATATAAAAACTCGTTTTAACGTTTGTTGTTGTTGTTGTTTAAATTCACGAATAAGATCTTTGACCTGCGTGATAGACGCCATATTCTCTCTCCCTTGTGCATACACAACAGGGGCAAGGGGTTCAATGAGAGAAGAAGAAGATGAAAAAAAGGAGAAGGAGAAGAAGAAAAAATTTTTAAAAACGTTTTTGCTCCAGTCGGATGCTGGGATACGATTACGAGAGTTGCGTGTGATCGTTTTTATTTTGCGGGCGTTTGTCGCGTGCTTAGCTGCCGGCTAACCCAGTAATATTAAATCAAAAAGGCGTGTCGTCATCAACATTTATTTATTTATTTATTAATGTATTTTTTACAACTCGATTTATGTACATTATTAAAATAAATCCGACCGACCACACGTAATTTTCAAAAAAAAAAAAAAAAAGAAAATTTTTTTTTTCGTTTTCGTTATTTTTTAAAAAAAAATTTTTTATAGGTCAGTTTGTTGTAATTTGTTTAATTATTATTATTATCATCATTATTATCATTAATCAATTAACTAAAATTTTGCTTTGTTACTAACAATAATTAATTAACGCAAAAAAAAAAAAAAATTCGGAGATGTCGTCGTCGTCGTTATTTTTTTTTTTCCAATCGTAATCAATTTTTGTGAATAATATAAAAATAATCTCATAAGTGACGTAAGAAAAAAAATAAAAAATGGCGCCGTCGAATAGGAAATTATATAAAAATGAAACAAATTGTTCATCTTTGGAATCCATAAAAAGAAAAAAATTCGATAGAAAATGGACGGATGATAAAAAGACAAAATCCGATTATGAAATCGACTACGAATTGAAAATTCCATTCAATGGCGTTATACTCTATAGGCTGGCATTTGCTATTTGGCAAACTGCTTTTCATCTTCAAAAACAATCTTTAAAGGTTTCTTAATATTATTATTATTATTATTATTATTACCTTTTCCGTTTCCGTTTCGAGAAAAAAAAAAATGCACAGGTGCGAAATGTTAAAAAAAAATTTACGTAATTTTATGTTTGTTTGTATATTTTATCGCATAATATAATTATTATTACTCTCGTAATTTTTTCTTCTTCGAATACTCGTTACCGGTTATTACGCGATAAAATGGCTTTGGTCGTGGAATTAGAAAGAAATAATAATAATTATAAATGTGTAATTTGCCGAAAGGTTTTTTTTTATACGCGCTCGCGCGAATACGCACAAACCTTATTTATATTCTTTTAACGACTTTTTAGAAAGTCGGAATGACAATAAATGTTTAGCGCGGGAAGGGAGGGGTGGGAGGTAAAAGAGAGAATGGGAGAAAATTTTTTACGTAATTCCTATTGAAATCTAATAATAATAATAATAATAATAATAATAATGACAACATTTTACGTTTTGCGCGTTTTGCTACGTGGGTAAGCCGCCTTCGGTCTTTAATGACCAGAAAATAAAAAATTTTCTTTCCTTTTAAATGCGATTTTGAAAGTTCGTTGACCTTTTTTATTAACATTCACGTGAAAAACGCGAAAAAATCGAAACGCAGAGTTCAAATCAACTTTTGATTAAAGTTTTTTTGTTTTTTTTTTTTGTTTAAATTATTGTTTTAAAAACAAATTGTTTAAATAAATTTATTTGCAATAAATTTTTCCTAAATTTTTGTTAACAATTTTTTTTTTTTTTTTTATGGGGGGATCTTTTATCATTTTCTCCCTTTAAATTTTTTTTCTTTTTCCCCTTCCCCCTACTGTGATATGATTTATCAATGCGTAAGTGATATGCTCGCATTGATAACGTAATCATTACCAAACTTTTAAAAATGAAAATAATAATAATGAAGGGTTATTCAATGTAACATAACGTGCGCTTTTTAAAAACAAACAATAATAATTATAATAATTAATAATTAATAATTAATTTTTTTTGTGTGTGTGTTTAAAGAAAGGGATTATTAAAGTGGGAGGAGGAGTTATTATTATTATTAACGCCGGTTATTAAATGATAATAACATAATAACTAACAAACAAACATTTAATTTAAAATAAAAAAAAATTCACGCGTTCGTGATTTTATGCGTGAGTGCGTGAATGAGTGCGTGAGTGCGTAAGTGCGTAAGTGCGTTATTCAAAGGCTTTTACAAACATAATAACATGTTTTTTTTTTCTTTTACAGAATTCGAACGATGGTAATGCGATTACGATTAAAACAACAAAATCAAAATCGGTAAGTTTTTTTTCATCAACAAACACACACACACACACACATTTCAAATAAACATTTTTTTTTTTATTAAAAACATGGAGGATGTTTTTATTTTTGGAACAACATTCGCAAGAAAAAATTTTGTTTTTAATAAACGTGGTCAAACATACGAATGCGGAAGTGAAAAAAAAAAAACAAAATGGATCTCTTTCGTTTAAACAAAAAAAAGAAAAATTATAATTTTGTTAAGTTTTTTTAAAAAATGACGTGGGAGTAGATCTAACGAAAAGTGGGGAAAGTTTTTGAGTGAGGGGAGGACGCGGATGTTTTTTTTTTTTAATGGCGATTATTCAATTAATTGTTAAAAATTACAGGATTTTTAAATTTTTAATGAATGGCGGTTGATAAAGTCGTAAGAAAAGACGTGAAACGCACGTTAAAATTTTTTTTTTTGCTATTAATCGAATTAAAGTTTCGTAATTTCATTATTATTATCATCATTGTTTTTCCAGACGCTTGTGACACCACCTCGTCCGGCTCCAAAACACGATCGCGAACTTCGTGAAAACATGGATTTCAGTTTTGTTACCGAACGTATTATCGTCCTTTATTTTCCGGAAAATGTGAGCCCGCAAGCTTTCCATCAAGGTCACAGTCAAGCAGCGCATTTGCTCACCACAAAACACTCTAATAATTACACCGTAAGTAATTAATTATTTCAATAATTATTATTATTATCGACCTCTCCCTTTACGTCACAATTTGCCATCGTTAATAATTTTTTTTTCTTATCCCGAGTAATAATAATCGATTTTTAATCGATCGTACGATTAGAAAGAAAAAAAAAGATGGCGACGACAAATAATTCCGCGGAACTTTGACTCTCTCTCTCTCGATCGGCATGTTAAGTAAGAAAAAATTTATTTTACTCGTCTTCGTAATAAAATAATAATAATAATAAAAATAAAAATAAAAATAATAATAATAATAATAATAATAATAATAATAATAATAATAAAATTGTAATTTTTTTTTATTTTTAATGATAAATTAAAACGTTTGTCACAAGTACACGGACGGTTGCTTGCGTGTGTGTGTGTGCGGCGCACACGCACACACCTACGTGTTCACGTACGTAGATGGGTAGAATATTTTTCTTTTTTTTGTAGCAAGTTTAAAAAATAAATTACGTACCTGACTAAGCAATTAATGATTTACCTGAAGAACGAGAAATTTTATCGTAAAAATGAAAAAAAAAAAAAAAGCTAAAACACGCCGTGAAGTAATAAAAAAAAAATTTATTTTATTTTATTTTATTTAGTTTAATTTAAATGGTTGATTCTCTTTCTTTCTCTCTTTTATCTTTCATTTCTCTCTCTCTCTCTCTCACTCTCTTTTTTACCATAGGAAAATAATAAATAAAAAACGGAATCGAAATAATTTTTTTTTTTTAAATTGCTGGAATGGCAAAAGTTAATAAAACTCGTTTTTTATTTATTTATTTATTTCCTTTCGATAATAATTTTTTATATCGTCGATGTTGTTACAACAATTTGTTAAAATATTATCATTATTATTATTGTTAGAGATTCGATGATAACGAATTTTTTAAAATATTAATTTACAGGTTTTTAATTTGACGGAACCTAGAAGAAGTGCAAGAAGTCAACATGCTAGAGTTCGCGAATTAAATTGGACTCCAGGTTTGGCACCACCTCTGGATAAATTATGCAGCATATGCAAAGAAATAGAAACTTGGCTGAATGGAGATTCACACAGGGTTGCCGTTTTACACGCGAGGTAAATCATTATTATTATTATTAAACGACGATGATAATAATAACGATTCATTCAAAATCTAACCCGTCGTAGAAAAATAAAAATAAAATTTATCCTTAAAAAAAAAATTTTTATAAAAAAAAAAAAAAAAAAAAACAAAAAGGAAAAGGAAACGAGGGAGTGAATCAACCAGAACTTGAACAACAAACAGAGATCAATACACACACAGTCGAAAAAAAAAATGATGATGATAATAATAATAATAATGATAAAGAAACTTGAAAGGGTGTTTCCCTTTCTCTACGTAAATTTCCTGTAAATTTTTTTTTTTTTTTTTTTTAATAAATCTTTTTTGTTTTTAACTCTCTCCCTCTCTCTCTCTTCCTCTTTAACCCGATGTTAATAATAATGTTTACCTGTTTTTTTTTCTTTTTGTCTTCTGCTCAAAAAAAAAATTATTAAAAACATCAGTTATCGAATAATATTTTTTTTTATTTTTCGTGACGTAGGCAGTTTGACTTATTTACTCTGACGTTTTAATACAAAAAGCAAAGATTTCCTTTCCTTCCCTTTTTTTTTTTTTCAAATGTTGTCTTCACTGTTTTTGATAAAAAACAACATCCTGAAATGTACGAGTCGTAAAAACTATACGAGGATGACTTTGAATTAAATAAATGAATTACTTTGTCTAATGTTTATTTTTATTTTATTTATTAGGGGCAACAGAGAACGAATCGGTGTCGTGGTAGCATCATTTATGCATTATTCGAACATCTGTGGCACGGCAGATCAGGCATTGGATAGATTTGCAATGGAAAAATTTCTCGATGATAAAATTCAAGAACTCGAACAACCTTCTCAGAGAAGGTATGTTTATTACGTCATCAAGTTTGCGGGTGAAGAAGAGAATGAAGAATTTTTAATAACGTTTTTTTTTTTTTTTTTTTTTTTTTTTTTAAGGTACGTTGATTATTTCGCGGGATTATTATCGGGAAACATAAGAATAAATTCGGCTCCTCTGTACCTGACGCACGTGACGGTTTTGGGAGCTCCGGCTTTTGAAGGGAATACAGAAGGAGTCGTTTGCAGAGCTTTCATTAAAATCTACGAAGGTTTAATGCCGGTTTACACGTCCGGCGTACACAGGATCACGCCCGGTACGAGACAGTTTACGGTTAACGTGGCCGGAGACAGAAGGAATCAGGGATTACAATTACGTGGTGACGTGTTAGTTAAGTGTTACCACAAACATCCGAAGCATAGGGAAGTTATATTTGCGTGCCAATTTCACACGTGCACAATATCCGATTATACGCTTAGCTTTACAAGGCACGAGCTGGACTCTGCTGCTTACGACCTCAGATTTCCATTGGACGGAGCCGTTGAATTTCATTTTTCATCTACTCCCATGCCTCGTCTTCCATTACCGGCTCCAACTCCGGCCGTTATGATTGATCCGATCGATGATGATCCCATTGTTCGCTGGGATAGCTATGCTGATTTAAGTCTCGGTGTTATCGAGCAAGAATCTGACGTGGACCACCACCACGGTGAGTGTGCAGATGTTGCTACAAAGAAATATTAAAAAAAAAAAAAAAATCACGCTGATTTTTTTTTCAATAAAGTGTAGGCTTAATAATTTTTTTTTCTTCTAAAAGGGGGGAACCAGAATTTGGGGAGCATGAAAAGGGAAAATTATATTTATAATTCTTTCGACCGTTTTTAATTTCATTCATTCATTTTAATATTAAAATTGAACAATCAAAGGAAAAAAATTTTCGCATTTAATTTTCACTTTTTTTTTTTATTTAAATTTTTGAAAACAATGTAACGGTTAAAAATAATTCAAAATAAATAAATAAATGAGGCATTTTTTTAAACATTGAATAAAAAAAAAAAAAAAAAAAAAAAATTTTCATGATTTTTGAGTAATGCCAATTTAACAGTGGGCTCCCCCAAAAAAAAAAAAAAAAATTTATGTAAACAACGAAATTAGAATCTTGGGTTTATATTCAGGCATTTATTGGAAAGAATTCAAATTAGTCAGATTTTATTTTTAATTTTAATTTTAATTTTTTTTTTATACAAATCGTAAATTTTTATTGGTTCTTGTCGTGTCCTTATTGTTATTTTGCATCATTGTTAAGACAATTTTTTTTTTTTCTGCGAAAACAAACGGAAATCGAAAACTGTATACGAAATTAAACCGGAAATACAAAAATCATTTCATTTTTTTCGTTTGTGTCGCTCTTAAAATCGGACATTTATAAATTTTTATTCGAAAATGCGCAGTCGACATTTTTTTTTCGACAAACGAAACTCAATTTTTTTTTTGTTTGTTTTTGTTTTAAAGGAACTTCCCGTTTGCTTCGCTGAAGACCTATATATATATGCTGTGGGTTCGATACGTTTCCACCTGTCTGCTGTCATATTCGGGTAGTCCGTTTGTATGAATGCGTGACCTTTATTTAAATTTTTCTTTTAAAAAAAATTTCTATTTACGAAAACACACACAAACACATTTAAAACAAACATCAACAAACATTTATTTACATACGTACATAATATTTTTTTTTGATAATAATAATAATAATAACAACGTTTTTATTTTTTTGCGTTTGAAAAGTTCTGTGCTTTTGTTTTGTTTTTTTTTGTGGTCATTATTTGTTTTCGATTTTAATACTCGGTTGTTGTTGTTGTTGTTTGTTGTCGTTTTTATTTTAGCAAATAATTTTTCATTTGTTTAAATAATTTTTTTTAGAAGATTTTACGATGGCCCTTACATAACGCTAATTTTTTTTTTTTTTTATAGCTTTTGACTTACTCCCAAAAAAATTTAAAAAAAAACATAAAAAAACATTAAAAAAAAATAAACTAAGTTTTGAAGTTATTATCATTATTATCATCATTATTATTAACGTCGATATTTATTATATTTTTATTACTAGTAATGTTATTATTATTATTACCATTATTTATTAATTGTATTTTACGAGTGACAATTATAATAAATAACACGTTAAATAAATTTATTATTTATTTTTGTTTTTAATTATTATTATTATTATTTATTTTGTAGTTAATTAAATATTATTATTATTATCATTATCATGCGAAAGAGTTTTTAAAAAAAAAAATTTTTTTTTCTTTCGTTGTTTGTTTTACAAACAACAATCGGGGATAGGATTGAATAGGCGGGGGGGAAAAAAAAAAATTTAACTTTTGGTTGTAGGTTTGGTTGTTGGTTGTTAGTTCTCGAATCGAATCGAATTATGCATTAATCGATTTAACAAACGTCGCGTACAAACAACAAAATTTTTTTTCGAAAAGAATTTTATTTTTTTTCCTTTGATTTTAATATTTAGATAAATTGTTGTGTTGGCATGAAACCAACCAATGCTAAATTTATCCAGCGTCGTTCTGCTGTGTTTGTGTGTGTGTGTGTTTGTACGAATGCTCTCTCGTTTAGTTATTATTTAATTCAGTCTTCTGTTTGTCGCGATCGAGAATTTGTTTCATTTTATTCACATAACCCGTATTTTATTATTATTATTATTTTTTCATTTAAATTTCATCAGGTGAGATTTAAATTTTTTTAATTTTTTTTTATTCTTTGCTGTTGTTGTTGTCGATTTCGATTGTTGATTTGTTATTTCGTTTGTTTGTTACAAAACGAAACAATCTAAATATTATTTTCTGATTCGAATTAAGTCGTCGCGATTGTTTCTTTCCATTTTTTTGATTAATTTTTATTAACGTTTCGAAATTATTTAAATTAATAAGCTAAATATAGTAATGGTTGTTGTTGTAGTTGAAATTTTCGATTCATCCCTAAAAACTATAATAAAAAAAAAAAAACTTTCGAAAAACTGGTCGCGCAACAATCAACAAAAACAACCAATAATGAATTAAAGTATGTCACAATCGCGATTAGTTTTTTTTTTTTTTTTAATAATAAAAAGAATCGAAATAAATTTTTTTTTTTTTAAAAAGAATTAGTTGCAGTTTTCGGTCGATGGAAAGTGGGCGTTAAATTTTAGGTGCGTTTAATATTAAAAAAAAAAAAGAAGAGGCGGACTCGGTTTTACCTTTTCTAGAAAGAAAAAGAAAAAAAATAATTTTTTTTTTAGGATTACGATCCTTGATTTTTGTTTTGGACGTAGTAAATTTTAATTTAATTTGTTTAAAAAACTCACGCGCACGTACTCACGCACACACACACGCAAAAGTAGTTTTTTTTAAATATTTAAATGTCCGACAATAAAAAAATTTAAAAAACAACAGACGAAAATTATCAGTAGTTTAGTGATATCGGTTTAGTTATAATAATAATTTATTTATTTATTTAATATTATTATCATTATCGAAATCGAAACCCCTCCCCCACCCCCGAAAAAAACAAATTGTGTTTTCGATATCTCGTTTACATTTAAATCTAAAATTATTACGTCATTATATTCTCGAAGTCAATAACGATTTTTTTTACGTGGGTGACGTTAATGTCTTTCTCTCTTTCGACTTCGTTTTAAAAAGTTTAAAATTTATTTAAAATTTAGTTTTTTTTTTTTTTTTTAAATATTTGAAAATTCGCGCGCTTTTTTTTTTGATTAAAATTTTATTAAAAATTTGTTAGTCGAAGCGGTAAAATCGAAAAGCGAAAAATAAAAACAAAAACGGAAAATGTCGACGAATGCATAAAAATTAATAAAAATTAAAATCAATTGATTTAAATTGACGAAATAATTATCGATAGAAATAAAAATCATTTTTAAATTGTTTAAATTATTATTAATCGTTAATAAAAATTTTAATATTAAAATTAAATAATAAAAAAAAAAATGGCCGACATTTTATTTTTTTAAAAATAATTTTTAATCCAGTCGTAGTAAATGCGGGTCGTGATAATTTTATTAAAAAAAAATGTCGCCGAAATTTAAAAAAATACGTTACGGATTAATTAATAATAAAGTAAATAATTAAATTTAGCAGAAGATAAAATTATTTTAAAACTTACCCGCGAAGAAAATTTTATTAAAACTTTTTCAACCATTTTCACAATTATTATTATACGCGCGGTGTTTGTTTTCGTATCGATGATTGTTCGACTTCTACAATCGTTTGTTTGTTATTTTCCATCGGTGTCTTTCTACAACGCTAGTTTAATTCATTTTTGTTTACCGAATGGTAGAAAATTCCTTTTTAGATAGTTTAAGTGAATGAGGTTGTAGGAAAAAAAAAAAAAAACAAGGATCGTAAAATGTATTAAAAAATTAACAAAAACCAAGTTACCAAATATGGACGAAAGCCTACCAACCTTCGCAAAAGTTTTTCTATTTTTTTTTTGCACTGTTTAAATATGTTTGGGCGGCTGAAACTATTTTTTTCCCCTCCCCCGACTTTAAAAATTTAATTTTCATAGGAAAATATTGATTTGAAAATTAATATCTGGAAAATGTTTTTTATTAGGGTAATAATTTTGAAAATATTGTCACGGTAATTTAAATTGTTTACTTAATTTTTTTTTAATAATTCATTTGACCGTGTCATCATTAATATTTTTACATGTAAAATTTCCAAAAATACTCAATTGGATAAAATCCAAAAAAGAATTTTTTTTTTTTGCAATTTTTTTTATAAATAAACAATCGCTAAATTTGTTTTAAAAAAAATTTTTTTTTTTTTTATAGGAGCATCTGGGCGTGAAGTATCGCACACGTTCGGACCGTTAGATGGTTCAATATACGCAACAGTCGCTAAAAAAGTGAGTCCGGTAACTGCTGTCGCAGTCACGACAATAAGCAGTCCAAGAACGGTATCAATGGACTCTGGAATATCATCAGCTGGCAACGGTCTTTTAAATAACAATTCGAACGCTTCTTCTTCTTCTCCCGTCACGGCATCGAATTTAGACACACAAAAAGCATGGGATGAATTACTTAGAGAAATGCAAATAACTGTGGAAAGTATACCGGACACGTCTTCTCCACGTACGTCGGCGCTCCCCCGCTCAGCAACCTACGCCGGCCCCACCACCGTTCGAACACATACACGTCGAACCGTGACTTCTCACAGTACGCTACCGACATCGACCGCGATCAGTAACGTATCCGCTTTCGACGATTTAGATTCCGTTGCTTATATCGACGATCCGGATGATATACCTTATCACGCACGTCAAGATAGCCGTCCTTTCACATACGGTTCCGCACCCGGACCCGAAATGTTGAGAGGTCAACCGGGACTATCGAGTCCCCAATTGGTACGAAAAGCGAGTTTCGGAAAAACCAGCGGTTACGCTAGTGATAGTAAATACAATAATAATAACAATAGTAAATATGATAAATACGATAAATACGAGCAGAATTCGTGGACATTGAAACCGCAGAAAACGGAAAATCCATGGGCTGCACGTTCGGAACAAACATGGATAATGTCAACAACTCCACGTAATACGAAATCTTGGGACACAACTGATACGTCATATAAATGGAGACAAACGAGTGCACCCGTCACCCGAAAATCATTTGACTTTTTAGAAAGGTAAAAATTCTTTTTTATTATTTTAAAAAAATTTTTCATAAATAAATAAATAAATTAATTAATTAAATTTATTTGACAAACGAGAAAAGTTACGAAAGGGAAAAGAAAATTTTATGTTTCGAAACATTCCGGTCAAATTCAACATAATAAAATTAGACGTTTGAAATCATTTTAACGACTTGAAATACGTGTTTTTTTTTTTTTTTTTGTTCTTCCTACTATTATGCAAACTCTCATTTATTTATTTATTTATTTATACATAACAATTTAAATGTGAAATTTGTTCAGAAAAACATGAGAGAGGATGGATAACAATTGTTTAAAAAATGAATTTTCATAATTGTATCATTGCCACCCACAATAACTATAAACTAAGGTTAAATGATAGAAATTAGATGAGAGTAAACGCCCACCATTGTTCTTTTTTTATTATTATTATTATCATTAAATTTTCTACTTTTGTTTTTGTTTTTATTATTAGAATGAAATTTTATAATAAAAATATTATTAAAGGTTATAAAAAATCGATCTCGAGTATCCTGAGTATAACCCTGGAAAAAAAAAAAATTTCACAGTTAAAAAATCACGCTAACAACTCGCATCCCGTTTGTTTGTTGTTGGTTTTTGTTAATGGAAACCGAAAATTAATATTTGATATACTTAAATTATTTTATAGTTCGGTTCAAAATAACAACGGATTGACAAACGGAAGCGTGACGTGGTTACAAAGACAACAGCAAAAGCTTAGGGAGAGAAAAGAAGCAGCTTTAAGAATGGAAAGACGTCCGCAGGAAGTACGTTTGATTTCCGAATTGAAATCCCAATATAATCATCATCATCATCATCAACGTCCATCTGCGAGTCACAGAGATGGTTACACGAGCGATACAACACATTTTGCCGATGACGACGACGACGACGACGATTTAAGCATACCCCTTCACGTTCAAACATCTCCCCATCGTAATTTAGGCTCGGCACCGGTTTCACCACTTCCGAGAAGGATTTTACAAAATGGCGTCGTCGAAAGGCCTTTCGTACAAGTTAAAAGAACGCAAGAAACAAGAAAATATGCTATCGATTCGGTGAGTTTTTTTTTTTTCGTTTTGTTTTTTTTAATTCATTTTCCTCGTGCTCTTTGTTATTATTATTATTATTATTATTATTATTATTCGTTGTTTTTATTTTTTAACCTTTAAATATCAATTTTGTTGACAAAAAGAAAAAAAAAAAAGCTGACAAAATTATCCGCGTTTTTATTTGTGATTTTGTTCCAGCTTAGAGGAGGCTACTGACCCTTTATACGTAAATTCGAAAGCTTTTTTTTTTTTTTTTTTAATAATTAATTAATTAATTAATAATTTTTTAAATAGTTTTTTTTTGGGTTTGGTTTGTTTTTTTTTTATTCGCTTTTTATTTCGAAAGCTTCCCCCCCTGGTTTTGTGCTAATAAAATTACATCAGAGCTTTATTATTATTATTTTAATAAAATAAATCAGTGGCGGTTATTTTTTTAAAAATCGCGAAAACTTATTGCAAAAGAAAAAATTTAAAAAAAAAAAAAACAAATACGACACATCATCGCAATAAATAATGTAATGTTGGCAGCAATTAATAATCATTTGTTTGTAGTAAATTTATGCAGTTAATTAAAAAAAAAAAAAAAAATTCGCCATATTCATCGTCAGAATCATTTTTTAACGAAAACTAATGTCATTTTCATTAACCGTTTATTTGATAACATCCGTTGCACACTACTCACAGAATTCCACCTCACCTAACGAGCTCGGCCTTCTCACATTAGTTAAGGATGACAAAGGTAGCAGGTACACGAACGAAGATGCACTATCAGCTCTCATCACATCTCTGGACCGTCAAAGAATTACAGAATCTTGTAACAGATACGTAAGCCGTAATTCTCACGAAGTCCCTAATCATTCGGTTTTATGGTCGTCTGGTCAGGTACTTTGGATTAATTTCCATTTTTTTTTTTTTTTTTTCAAACACGAAAAATCCTCGTGAAAGTTAATAAAAAATTATTTTATTATTTTATTATTTATTTTATTTTATTTTTTTTTATAATTTCAGCTTCGAGACGATAGTTTGTCTTCTTGGAGAACGGCATCCGTAAGCGACGATCCTGGAAGTCCATCTCGTACAAACAGTCCTAGACCGGTAACTCCGGCATTTCCGGTTTTTCCAAGAACACCTTATGCAAATGGTTCGGTCGTACAATTCGAAACAAATGGTTTACCACCTAAAAGTCCAACTGCACAACGGTAGGTTTCCATATAAAGTCCTTAATCGGGAACAATCGTAATAATAATAATAATATTCACTCTTTTTCCCTCTCTGATCTTTCGTTAAAACCGTTAAAAATTGATTACGTAATACGCGATCTAATTTCTCTCGTTTTTCGTCGTACAAAAAAAAAAAAAAAATTCATGTTGCCAACTTTTAACAATTAATCTTGTTACTATATTATGTTAACGACTCCACTTTAAAAAAAAAAAACGTACAATAAATGAAAACGTTATCAATCGAGGGAAAGTGGTGCCAACATTACCGACTGATAAAATATTTAAATTTATTAAACACATATCTATATATATATATTTTTTTTTTATGGTCAAAGTTCAACAATCTAAATGTTTCAAAATTAGATTACGCTTTGGAAATCATTCAAACAAGTTTTTTTTTTTTCTAAAGGTTCCATCTTGTTTTTTTCTTTTCTTTCTTTAGTGTTTTTTTTTTTTTGTACCTTTTGAATTGTATTTCATTTTAATTTTATTTCCTTCTTTATAAATTAGACGAGTGATTAGTTCCGGATCGTATAAAACCGTTCGCAAGTCTCCTACCAGTTCTAGGTAAGAAATGTGTGTCCCATTGCTGTGTTAAAAACCCTTTTATTTAAGCTCTGATAATAAAAAAAATTATCATTATTTTTATTTTGGGTTGTTTTAACAAAAACAAAAAGAATTGATTGATTGATTGATTTATTTGAAAGTGTAAAAGAAAAAAAAATTAAAAAAAAAAACAAAAAGAAAAACTACAATTATTGATTTTGTTTTGATTTTTTTTTTTTTGAAATCTAATAAAAATTATTTTATAATAATAATAATAAAGTTTTATTTTCGAAAGTGTTTTATTTGAAACATTCGAGAGTAAATTAATAATTAAATTATTTTATTTTTGTCCCAACAGCAAAGAACGTTCGCCATCACCAAGCGTTGACAGCCAAATGCAATACAGTCCAAGAGTAAGCAATAAAAAAATTTTTTTTTTTTATCTTAAAGAAAAAAAAAAAATTTAATGTTCGTAATTAAAAAACTTTTTTTTTGTTTGTTAATTAACGACTCAGAGCACTACATCATCAATCGTTAATGGAAGTTATCAAAGTCAATCTCAAAGGTCATCGATTCATTCAAACAGCGAACCCCCACAAGAAGTTTCACCTGCCCACGTTAAATTCGTACGAGATACTTCTCGTTATTGGTACAAGCCGACAATATCGAGAGAAGAAGGTAAAATTAAATAATTTTTTTGTTTGTTTGTTTGTTTGTTGTTGTTGATTAAATGAAATTTCGTAACGAATCAAACGACTTTTTTTTTTATTTTTTTACGATGCCCAGCTATCAACATGTTACGAAACGAACCGCCGGGAACTTTTGTGGTACGCGATTCTAATTCATTTGCTGGTGCGTTTGGTTTGGCATTGAAAGTGGCAACTCCTCCTCCGGGTAAATCGGGTTCTGGTCCTGATGAATTAGTACGTCACTTTTTAATTGAACCTACATCTCGAGGTGTTCGACTTAAAGGATGCGCGAATGAACCTGTTTTTAGTATGTTATATTCGTAAAAGAAAACAATAATAATAATAATTTTTGTAAAATTTATTTAATTTATAAAATTTTTCATCAATTTATAGGTTCGTTATCCGCTCTAGTCTATCAACACTCGATTACGAATATGGCATTGCCAACGAGATTACTTCTTCCGGAATGCGAAAGAAAAATAGAAAGTTTAAACACATCAACAGCGCAACAACTTCTCGCTCAGGGTGCTGCCTGTAACGTTCTTTATTTAATAACGGTAGATACCGAATCGTTGACCGGTCCTCAGGCAATTAGAAAAGCAATCAACCAATTATTTTTAACAAAACCGTTGCCCGTAGCCGTAATCGTTCATTTTAAGGTACAAAAAAAAAAAAATTAGACCCAAATAAAAAAATTGTAGAATTTCGACATTTTTCCCTTTAAATTATTTTCTCGCACAGGTATCGGGACAAGGTATCACTTTAACCGATAACAAAAGGCAGATTTTCTTCAGAAGACATTATCCGGTGGCTGCCATATCACATTGCGGATTAGATCCCGATGATCACAGATGGAGTCACACGGCGGATTCGTCAGGAATTCCAATAAGTTCACAGTAGGCATACATATTTTGAACTTAAAATAAAAATTTTTTACAATTAAAACCTATAAAAATTAACCCGGTTTTCGTTTTCTTTGATTCCTCACAGTCGTTGTTTTGGATTCGTCGCAAGAAAACCTGCAAGCAAAACAGATAATCAATGTCACATATTTGCCGAATTGGAACCCGAACAACCAGCTACGGCAATAGTTAATTTCGTAACCAAAGTTATGATGACGAGTGCTTATAAGCCAAACATTTAAAACAAACGCATCAAAACAATCGACAACCGATATCTTTATTCGAAAAAAATAAAAAATAAAAAATAAAACGGTGCCTTTGGAAAGACTGTTCAGTCTAAACGGATAATATAAAAAAAATTTTTTTTTTTTAAAATAAAATTCGTGGCTTTAAATAATAATAACAATAATAATAATAATTAATTAATTAATAAATATTAATATCAATAAGTGTTATAATAAATCCGGTGGTTTTTTATTTATTAAAAAAAAAAAATATTTAAAAAAACAAAAAAAATCGTTTGATATTATATATATAATTATAATATTATTATCATTTTATAGTCGTAAGATTCACGATGATGTATTTTTTTTTTTTTTTTAATTATGTAAGTCAATAACAATTATTAATAATAATAATAATAATAATAATTTTCACATTATACTAAAAAATTATTAATTTATTATTGTAAAATAATCGTTTTATACATAATGAATACATATTTTATTAATTTCAATTATACATATATATATATATATATATATATATATATATATATATATATATATCATATATAATATTATATTTAAAAAAAAAGTTATAATTAAACAAATAATAATAATAATCATCACTATTTTATTTAAATAAAATAATAGTAACTAATATTCAAACGAATTTTTTTTTTTTTTTTAAATTAAATTAAATTAAATTAAATTAAACGAGCTTATTAATTAATTAAAAACTCTTTAGCCCCCCTCCCCCTCTCTCGTCTGTCCCCCTTTTAATTAATTTTTATCGTTTTAATAATTTTTTTAAAACTTTGTTTAATTAATTAATAATAATTTGCAATAAATAAATATATCCGAAGCATAAATAAAAAAAAAAAAAAATTATGTATATGAAATAATTAATTTTTTTTTTATTGTGAATTATTTAATTTTTATTTAAAATAAAAAATAAATAATTAAGATACATAAATAAAAATTAATTAATTAATTAATAATATCAATATAATTTCAAATGTTATTTTATTTTTTATTTTTTTATGTAAATAATTATTAATATTTACTTCTTTTAATTTTAATTTAAACTAAATCAAAAAAAAAAAAAAAATTGTTTTTATTAATAAATAACTAATTGAAAAAATAAATAAATAAATAAAAAGTTTACATAATGAAATATGATTTGTTTTATTATTTTATTACGGTAATTTTATTATTATTATTATTATTATTATTATTATTTATTTTTTTTGTTTATTTGTTTTAGGTTGAATACACGCGAAAGATGTTCGGTTTTTTTTATATGTGTAAAAGTTTAATAATAATAATAATACTTTTCTCTTTTAATTTCAGGTAGATATTTAAATGGAATTTTAGAGTACATAGAAAAAAAAAAGAAAAGTTAATATCTTTTTCCAAATCTCATGTGACCATAATCGTCTAAATCTTCTCCACGTTTTCCAAATCTCATATGACCATAATCGTCAAATTGATCCTGACGTTTGTCCGCCATATTGTCTTGTTTTCTTTCGAGTACGAGACTTATAAATGGTAATCTTTCAATTTGTTGTCTTTTTTCAAAATATTTCAATTTCGATTTGTTTGTTAAATCATCTCCGAATGTATTTTCCGGGAGTATAATAAGGTAGGCTACGAGAAAAATTTTTACCAACGTTTTTAAACCCATTTTCTAAAATTAAATAAACAATAAAAATAAAACGTTTTTAAAGTGTTTGTTTTCGCGCCAAAAATACTCAAAAAAAAAAATTAAAAATTATCACTAACTTAGAATTGTTGTTGTTGTTGTTATAATTCGAATTCGACGAAATATTTAAACTTCTTCACTTCGTAAAGAAGGTTTTTCGATAACTGAAAACATTTTATACGAAAGCAAATCATTTTTATATAAAAAAATTTTAAATCCCCCTGAGTACGTTTAACGTAATTTCATGGCCCCCCCTCCCCACTTTTCAATTTGTTTAAATTATAAAATTTGACAGGTTTTCTCTTTTTTAATTTAAACAACAAATTTAATTTCGACGATAAAAAAAAACAATTTTTTTTTTTTTTTAAACGTCTTTGCTTTGATAATAAAATAAAAAAAAAATAATAATAAAATGAAAGGAGGGGGGGGGGGAAAAATAAATTCGATTAAAGATTTGAACAAAAAAAATTTTATTTACCATTCTTTTGAAGTAAATATAATTTAATCAATTTTTTTCTTTCCGTTTTCCATTTTCTTTTTTTTTTATTGTAAACATATAAAAGAAAATAATTTATTGATAATATACATCGTTGAAAATTTTCCATTTAAAAATTATAAACAATTAACGGTTATTTGTAATATCACTTGATGAATTTTTATTAATTTAAAAAAATGGAAGGTTAAGTGAGTAATGAAAAAAAAAAACGTACGAAAACGATTAAATATTTAATAATAAATACAATAATACAATTATCATTAATGAATTCAATTTTAAAACGTTTTAAAATTAAAAAATAAATAATTTTTCGCGAGTAAAAATTTTAAATGAAACGTTCGTAATGGATTTCCGTTAAACGATTCTATGGGATTTTTGTCGCACGTTTGAAAAAAGAACGACATTTTGAAACGCGCTCTCATTAACTGTTTTCATTCCGGAACGAATTCAAATTGTAAAGTGTGTAAGCAAATTTTCAATGATGAAATAATAAATTAGAAGAAATTAATGTTAAATTGAATTCAAAAAAGAAAAAACATTTCAAAATGAATGATAATATATTAGGTGATGAATTAGAAAATGAAATTTTATTAATGGAACAGGAATTAAAGGTTAAAAGGGTAAATAAATATTTTACTTTTTTTTTTTTTTCAATAATCATATTCCCTCATTTGATGAATATGATTATTTAAAAATAAATTTTTCAATTGTTTTATTACATTTTGTGTTTTTATATTTTATTTTAAGGATTTATTGGAAGAATGCAGACAAAAATTACAATTGGAAATATTAGAACATAAAAAAACCAAAACAAATTTATTGAAAATTGAAAATGAAAACAAAGAACTTCAAATACAATTGGATGTCAGTTTAAAAGCCACACAAAATTTAGAAAAAGAAAATAATAAAAATAGAGAGATTTTAGTCAAACTTCAAATTCAAACAACTTCATATTTGAATGAAAGACAACAACTTATTGATAAATGTTTTTATGCAGAAGTGTGATGTATTTTATTTTTTTACAATTTAAATTTGATAATCTGATCATTTGTTTACTTATTTATTTTTTCTTTACTTAAAAACACACACACACAACAGTCTGTCAGTGATTCATTGAAAATTGAAGTTGATGATTTAAAAAATGAAATTAAAAAATATATTTCTTATAATGAAAGTTGTAAAATTAGACAAAATCAAACAGAAGCTTTAGTAGCAGAAATTTTAAAGTAAATAATGAAATTTTATGGTGTGTAAAATAAACAAAAATTGTTATTTTTATGACATGATATTTACAGCAAACAAGAAATATTAAAGAAAGAACATAATCAACTGAAATCTGAATGTAATGAAAGTTTAGCATTTATAACAAAGATTGAAAATGAAGCAGATATGCAGGTTAAATATGTTCTAGAAGCGAATAAAACATTATTGGAAATGGAAGAAAAAATGATATTATTAATGGGTAATTCCTCACTGTATTATTATTTACATACATTATTTATGTATTGCTTTTTAATTTGTTTTTTTTTTTTAAACATTTCAGCTGCTCTAGAAAAAGAAAAATTTAAAAATAAAGACTTGGAAACTTTATCAGAAGAGAAAGAAAGGAATTCATTAAATTCTGATGAGGTAACAAATATGATTAAGTTATTTAAAAATAATACTTATAAAAAAAAAAGTCACATTTCAAATGATTAAAAAATTATTGTTTACAACAAAACCTATTATTTGATTCTGTTATTAAAATACAAATAACTTTATCACATTAAAAAAAAAAATTTGTATGTGGGAAGAAGTTATTATGTATGTGGGTGAAGCAATCAAAACATAATTTTTCCATTTCTATAAATTTTTTTTTTTTTTTTTTTTTAAATTTTTAAAAATAAATTATAATAATTTATATATTTTTTTTTAGTGGAAAAATTACCAAACGGACAATCAAATAAGAATAAATAAAATTTTAGAAGAAAATGAATTTTTAACAAAGGAATTAAATTTAGCAACGTCACAAATAGAACGTTTAATTTCCTATCAAAAATTTTAAAAATATTTTTTTTTATATGAAAAAAAACCGTTAAAATTTTTTTTTTTTTTTTTTTTAGTTAAATAACAACTAAGCGGGGGTTTTAAAAAAAAAAAAAAGGAAAAATATTGTTAATTTTTTTTTCTTTTTTTTTTTTTAACTTTTGCGAAAAAATTGCGTTAACTAATAGCAATTTATAATGTAATTAGTAATGGTCGTTAATTTTTGTAATAATAACGTACGTTAATTTATTTATTTGTTTATTTAATTACTTTGTCATTCGGGAGAAAACTCGACGTGTACGATCATACGATATTTTATTTATTTATTTTTTTTTGTTTAATTTGTAAAGGTTTTTAATTTAACGTTTGTTCAAATTGGAAAAAAAATTATATCATTAATTAAAATGTAATGAAATTTAATTTGTAAATTGTTAGCAAAATAATGGAAAACATTATTGTTGTTGTTTCTTTGTGAGTATAGCAAAATATGGAAGTTGTAGCGGTCGATTGCCACGTTTATTTTGATACGTACAAATTCTCGATAGTGACATAGAAACGAATATTTTTTTTTTTTTTTATTATGATCGTTAGTCGCGACTGATATTTAAATAAATTATGTATAAAAAATAATTTTTTTTTTTTATATATATTTATGAGTAAAAAGTTATTTTATTTAATTAATTGTATTTTCAGTATTAAGTTATGAAGATTTCTATGTTAGAAAATGATACGGAACAATGGACAAGGTAAATAAACAAAAAAAAATTTTTTATTATTTATTATTTTTATATTTATAAATTTATTTATTATTATTATTATTATTTTATTACAGAGCACAGCAAAGGCATTGGTTAATCGTATTAGCCGCCGGTACAACTCTTGTTTATGCTAGTCGTAATTGTGTTCCTTTACTTATACCTTCAATTGCCAAAGAAAAAAACTGGAGTCGATCGGATTCTGGAATTGTTTTGTCAAGTTTTTTTTGGGGATATACTCTAACGCAAGTAAATAAATTTTAATTTAAAGTTTTTTTTTTTTTCGGTTTGCAAATAAATAAATAAATAAATAAATTAATGAAATGATTTTTAACAAAGGTCGTAGGAGGATATGTAGCTGATAAAATTGGAGGACAAAAAGTGATATTATATTCCGCTTTAGGATGGTCAATAATCACTATTTCAATGCCATTTTTTATACAAGTTCTTTCTCCAGAAGTTGGTTTTTATCTAATGTTAGTTAGATTTGCTCATGGCGCTTTTCAAGGTCCGTATAGATAAAAACAAAAAAGTTTTCTTTATTTTTTTTTTTTTTTATTAACTTTAAAACGCTTAACTTTTTTTTTTTTTGGTTTTTTGTTTTTTCAGGAGTTCATTTCCCTGGAATGAGTAGCTTAGCGAGTAAACAACTCTCAGGAAAAAATAGAGCTTCATTTTTTAGTTTGGCAACGTCCGGATCCGCGTTGGGAATATTGTTAACCGGAACTTTTGGTTCCTACATATTAGATAATTCAAATTGGCAAACAGTATTTTATTTAGTGGGTGGAACATGTTGCATTTGGACATATTTATTTTTTTTCCTATGTCAAACGTCAACTAATGTGTTTATAAATTTTGAAAATCATAGCATTCCGTGGAAAAATCTCTTTCGAAAGCCAGCGTTTTGGTCATGCGTCTTTGCTCACGCTTGTCAAAACAACTGCTTCTTTATTTTGTTGTCTTGGTTACCAACTTATTTTCATGACATGTTTCCAGACGCAAAAGGGTGGCTTGTCAACATGATTCCGTGGCTGTTTACAGTTCCTTGTACTTTTATTGGAAAATGGTTATCTGAGTATTTAATTTCCAAAGGTTTTACCGTAACTTCGACGAGAAAAATTATCGAAGCATTTTGCCTTTTAACTGAATCATTTGGACTTTTAGCTTTAGGTAAAAAAAAAATTTCAATATTTATAGTTATTATAAACATTTTCTTTCTTAAAAAAAAAAAAAAAATTTTTTTTCTCCCTTTTTTCCAGATTATATAAAATCATTAAACGGAGTGTTAGCCTGTATAGTTTTAATTATAGGAGCCGCCGGATTTCACAACAGTGCTGTCGTTGTTAATCCAGGTGATCTCGCACCAAAACATTCCGGTAGTGTTTTCGGTCTGATGAATACGGTGGGCTCAATACCCGGTTTTGTAAGCGTTTATGTAGCCGGTTTAATTTTAGAAAAAACGCAAAAATGGACTTTAGTCTTCAATTCGATAGCGGCGATTAATATAATTGGATGTTCATTATTCTGCTGGTTTGGAAGCGGTAATCCTATTATACAATGATCTGAATAAGCTAAAGACTTTTTGACATGTAAGGACCATCCAACTCATATCCCAACTTCCTATAATAGTTTCTTGTTCCTACTCCGGATATAACAGCTATTTTTTCAGATCCATGTTCTTCTTTTGCTATCCTTTCTGCTTCTTCCATTAGCAACATGCCAAAGCCTTGATGTTGAAACTTTGTCGGATCCCTTGCGCTGACTGCCACAACGCTCCCGTAAACGTGAAGTTCTCGAACGATCGAACTTTTTCCCTTTAATTCTGGTCTAAAGGTATCTTCGGAACATTTTCGTAATCGTAAAAGACCAACGAGAATATCTTGTTCGGGATCTTCGTAAGATAAAAACGTTTCCCAACCGCCGTTCGCGAAGTAATCACGTCTCACTAACTCTACCTCGTAAGGTTTTACTTTATTATGAATTTCTTGAATTCCAACTTCACGCGTTCTAACGTCTCTACATTGAGTTCCTAAATCTTTCATTCGTAATAATGCCAATTCTCGCAAGTTACCATGTTCCACTCCAGAACTGAAATCAATTTTATTTAATGATTCAGTTGAAGAAAAAATAAAATTAACCAATTAGTTAAATGCGATAAAAACTTACCTCACTAAGGGCATGGGTATATCACGCTGCACTCTGTAAACTCTTGTCCAAGGAGGTATAAGAGCTAAAATTCTAGCAATTAGATCTACTAAAGTATTCGGAGGATAACTTTTGTACCTTCCTGTTTTCCATAATTCATATAAACCAGTACCTCTTATGACAAGAGTTGGATAAATTTTTAATCCATCAGCTCGAAAAGCTGGATTCTCAAAAAATTCCTGTTGAAAAAAAAAATTGATTAATTAAGGTATGAATCAATAATTTTTATTATTAATTTTAATTTATAAATGATAAAATACTTACAATAAATTGTTCCAAATCTCTTTCCAAGTCGACATTAGGCAAATCAGGCATCATATGAGCAACTACTTTAAATCCAGCATCTTTAGCCAAGTTGAAACTTTCACAAACTGCTCTTACAGTGTGGCCCCTATTTGTATCTCTAGCAACATCTTCATATACAGATTGAACTCCTATTTCTAATCTGGTACACCCATAACCGAGCATATCGGAAAGATGACGTTTCAAGCAATAATCAGGTCTTGTTTCTATAGTTATTCCAATACATTTTATTTTACTTCTTTCAGAGTGCCTGGAATTATTAATTGTGTTAATGTAAAAATTAAACTTAAAACTTTAAAAAGGAGTAAAATATAAAATCTTACTTTACAGCTTCTTCTACATTACTGCTTGAATGACCTGTCAAAGCATCATGTAAATTCCTAATAAAATAATCTCTATAATCAGCAGGAAGGCTCATAAAAGTTCCTCCCATAACTATAAACTCAACTTTATCAACTGAATGACCTAATTGTTGCAGCTGTAATGTCATTTAAGGACAGCAATTAATCACCATGTTTAATGACATTAAGAAGTAGTACTTAGGATAATATTTATAATAATTTGAAAAGAAAAAATTTTATTGGTTGCCAACCTGTTCAACTCTGTGTCTTGTTTGTAAGTAAGGATTATAGTTTGCTCTAATGGCTCTCATTGATGTAGGCTCGTAACCAGTGTAAGATTGGGTAGAATATTCAAAATCGGAATCTGGTCCACCTGGGCAATAAACACAAATGTTTCCAGTCATGTTAATGTGTGGACATCTGTGTGGCTTACACATGACAGCTACAACAGCAATCTTTAAAAAGGTTGAAAACATTAAAAATTATTAAAATAAAAAAATTTGTCTTAGATTTGCAGAAGGCTCGTAATCAAAGCATTTGGTCGTTATTAAAAAGCAAATAACAACAAATTGAAACTTACTCCACTTGCAGTTCTAATTGGTTTTGCTTTTAGTTTTGGTACTAAATTTTTTCTATGTTGTGGAGGTACGGCCGATATAATGTCAACTAATCGAGGCTGAGAATCAAGACCGTATTTGGAAGAAATTTTAGTTTTTATGTGATTTAGATTAACATCTTTTTTTTCATCGTGAGCTCGAATGAGTTCTTGAATGATTTCACCAATTGTTAAAACCATTTTTTCTTTTTTGGTAAGGTTATCATCTAAAAGTATGTGTTTTTTAAAAATTTAATTCGAATGCATTAATAAATTTAATTTCATTTGAAATTAATTTTACCTTTTTTTCTTGCCATATCGAAAATTTAAAGGTTAGGAAATAAGGTTACAATGCTAAAAAAAACACAATGTAAAAATGACAAGGTATAATACTTAAAATATTTAATTTTTTATTATTTAAGTATTGTATTTATAGATTTATAAAAAATACTAGTCAGATATTTAATTACTATTTATCTCGACAAAATATGTTATTGCAAAAGATTACTCCTTTTTATTTTTAAATTTATTTTTATTTTGTTGGCAGAAGTGTAAAAAAAAATGGTTTCAAGAATATTTAAACCAATCAAATTGACACGCGTTGTTCGCCGTTGTTCTGTCATCTGCTGAACCGTATTTCAAAATGTATATCGGGGTATTAAGCATAATTTTTATAAATTTAGTTTTTTGTTTTTTTGTTGCATCTTCAGGGTGAGTAAAAAAAAAAATAAAGAGCACGTCAATTTTTAAAAATTTATCATTACGGTTACTTGTCATTATATATTTATTATTTTAAAATGTCGGCTTTGATGAGATGAGGTTAGATATCTTATTGTAATTAAAAATTAATTTGCAAAAAATAGTATGCAAATAAGAGCATCTCAAAAAATTTTTTTAAAATCCCATCAGAATTTTAAAAATGACTTTTTCAAAGTCATTTTGAGAAAATTTTATTAAAGTTTTATTTATGTAATCTTATCTCACATCACGACATCCTTTGTAAATTGATATTTTATTCAAATGAATATATGAATATTTATTTAAAATTTTTATATTGAAGCCCATAAATTTTAATTAAAAACTTATAATATAATTTATTCTACATAGGAGAGATTTTTATGCTATTCTGCAAGTGTCAAAGAGTGCAAACACAAATCAAATTAAAAAAGCCTATAGAAAATTAGCCAAAGAACTGCATCCGGACAAAAATAAAGATGATCCAGATGCAGCATCAAAGTTTCAAGATTTGGGTGCAGCCTACGAAATCTTATCCGATCCAGATAAGAGAAAAAAGTATGACATGTGCGGAGAAGAATGTGTCAAAAAAGATGGTATGATGGATGGAATGGATCCCTTTGCAAGCTTTTTCGGAGACTTTGGTTTTCATTTTGGAGGATCTGATGAAAGGCGAGAAACTCCTAAAGGTGCCAATATTGTTATGGATTTCCAAGTAACATTAGAGGAACTTTATGTTGGGAATTTTGTCGAGGTAAATATTTAATAAAATATACAATATTGATTTCCCACAAAAAAAAAAAAAAAATATTTTAATTTAAAATGAATATATTTTTTTTTTGTGTCTAGATTACTAGAAATAAACCAGTTATTAAGCCAGCCAAAGGTACTAGAAAATGTAATTGTAGACAGGAAATGGTTACCAGAAACTTGGGTCCTGGAAGATTTCAGATGATTCAACAAACTGTTTGTGATGAATGTCCCAATGTAAAGTAAGTTATAAATAAAATATTTTCCATTGCTTTTAGAGAAAATTTTTTTGTTTAGTAATTATATTTAAATAAATTTTCTATTGAATTTTTTACAGGTTGGTCAATGAAGAAAGGCAATTAGAAGTTGAAATTGAACCTGGAATGGTAGACAATAAGGAAACAAGGTTTATTGCAGAGGGAGAACCGCACATTGATGGTGAACCTGGGGATTTAATTATCAAAATCAAAACATTGCCACATCCTACCTTTGAAAGGAAAGGAGATGACTTATACACAAACATGACTATTAGTTTACAAGATGCACTTATAGGTTTCACAACAGAAATTGAACATTTAGATGGTCACAAAGTCACAATATCCAGAGATAAAATAACATGGCCTGGAGCGAAAATAAAGAAAAAGGGAGAAGGAATGCCCAACTATGATAATAATAACTTACACGGGACTTTGCATGTTACATTCGATGTTGAATTTCCTAAAAGTGAATTATCTGAAACTGAAAAAGAATCTATAAAGAAAATATTAAATCAAAAATCTATTAATAGGGTGTATAATGGTTTAAGAGGATATTAAATAGATGTAAATAGTGACAGTTGTTTATTTCCATTTTGATTATCAAGTGAAAAAATATTATTAGGACACAACTTTTTTTTTTTAAAAATCTAAAATTCCTTTTTTTAAAAACCGGTATAAAAAAAAAAAATCAGTATTTAAAATATTTTTTAACTGATTTTATAACTTGTTTATTATAGTAATAAAAATCATTTAAAAAGAAAAAAAAAAAAAAAAAAAAAAGATGTATAATTTGTTACATCATGTATGATTAACTAAAAATTTTGAAGTCGAATGTGATTATAATTAAACTATTTGTTATAAAACAACTTTTAATCTTTATTCATTAATTTTTTTTTTTTTTTGCTTAAAAAAAAGATACAGCTATGTCTAATGGGTTGTTTAAAAAAAAAAAAAAATTAAAAAGCAGGTAGTATAAAAAAACAGTACAAAAATGTGATTCAGATGTGGGCAGATGTTTCATTTTCTTCCTTTAAAAATTTATTTTTTAAAGGAAATTTAAAAAACTTTTTTGATTGATTATGTTTCAACTAGTGTTAAGCAAATTACAGAACGCTTTCAATAAGTAATTATAATTATTTTATAATATTTATATTGTTTTGATTTATTACACAACCAAAAGAAACGATTGTATTTAAAATTTTTTATTATTTAAATACATTATTAACTTAATGTTATTCTTGTATGAATAATTTTTTCATATTTAATTTAAATTTTGTTTATTCGAAGTAATTTTTAAGTTTCATTCCAATCAATAAATATAAAAAGTTAAATAAATACAAAATTTGAAAATATTTTTAACCGTTAAAAAGTTATTCGAAAGGTGACGTCACGATTTTAATGTAGGAGTGCCAACAAAATTTTTAAATTTATTGAATGTTAATTTATACATTTTAAAAATATTCTATTATTGCATAATTTACAGTTTGATAACAGTAAAATTTTGTAAATTTTTTTATTTTAGTGTAAAGTAAACCGAAAACTTTATATTTGTAATAGGATGTGCGACGGTAAAATTATAAATTTTTTTTTATTTTGTAAAAAAAAATTGTACGCTTACTCTAAATTTAACGGTTATTTTTACAGTGCATGAAGATTCAATTATATGCGAATCAGATGATGATTTATTGAATACGAAAAAATGTGTGCCTACTCTGACGCAAATTCGAGAACAATTAGGAGGAAAACTTAGTGACGTATTCTTCGAAAGCTTAACTGATGAAGCAAAAGCATGGGTGGGTAATTGTTATTATTGTTAATAATAATAATAATCATTCAAAAATTAAATTTTGTTTTAATAATCCTTTTGATTAACAATTTCAGTTGGGACTTAGTCCTCCGTTAAAAGGCACTGATGAATTATGGATAAGTCCAGATTCAAGATTGGAAAAAAATGTTGTAAAAACCTCAATACCTGAACCTTCTGTTTCTCACTTATTAGCTTTTACTCATGAATCAATTTTAGGTAATGAGATACTAACAAATAGAATTAAAAGCATTTCATTTCAATCGTTGCTTATAGTCTTGGGAGTTTTTTTTTTTTTAAGAAATCGGGGAAATGTGCATTAAAAAATTGGAAAATAAGCACAGAAATCAAATGGATGCTGCTCTCAAAAGACAAGCTGCACAATTAGAAGAGGAATGTAAGCTTAGATTAAACGACAGCGGTTACAAATGTGGTGAGGGAACGGCGCAATTACATAATGTTGTCTTGACATTAATGAAGCATTTCGATAAATGTTTCGACGTAATTCCTTGTCAAAAACTATTTACAAATGTCTACATGAATATCGGTATACAAGGCTTACTATAGAAATATTTATTAAATTTTTTTAGGAATTAGTAGAAACGATTCAACTTAATGTGAGAAAAGAGTGCGAATTGAAAGTAGATCAAGAAAGAGCAGAAATTGCTGCTTATATGCTGACCCAGTTACAAGAAGAAGTTGAAAATCGAGATTATACTCTTTGCAATGATTTTCACGACATTTTATTAAACGAATTAAATCTTTTAACTTCGAAATATGTTAAACAAATAGAGTAATTTTATTATTATTAATCCGTATGGTAAATAATATTACCACTAATTTAAAATTTGAAAATAAGAGATTTTCTTTTTTAGCGAAGAACGATTATTGGCCACGGAATTATTAAAAGGAACCATAGAAAAATATGAAAAAATGTTAGTAGATATGAAAACACAAATGGAGTTGTGCTCAATAGTCGATGTATGTCGTGCCATTGGTTTAGAACGGATTGAATGCAATCAAAGAATAAAAAGATTACAAAATGAAAATAGAAATAGTTTTGAAGAACTCAAAAATATAAATAATAAATTAAAAGCTGAAAATTTTACTTTGCGACAAATGTCAATCGAAAAAGTCAAAAGGTTTATAGCACATGACCATAATATTTACATTTTTTTTTAAAATCAAAATTGTAACGTTTTGAACGTAAAATTTTTTTATTGTAGGTTAATTGAGTGGCGACAAAAAGTTCAAGTTTTACTTAAAGAATATCAAAGATTTATAAATTATGCTTTAAAAGCAGTACCTGGTCAAGCAGAGTTTTTACTTTCCGTTGAAAAATTAATGTTTAAAGAATTTCCAGAAGACAGTTTTTTAAATCCGGTAATAAAAAATTCATTTTTTTGAAAAAAAAAAAAAAAAAATTAAATAAATGTGTTACAGGAGATCATCTTATTATTATTTCCATAGGAAGATTATTTAGATTTTAAAAATTGCATGAAAAATAAAAAAATGGAAGAATTTCAAGCCGATGATTTACCTTTAGTCGAAGAACCATCTGAAAAATCAGAAACATCATGTACCGGTGAAACCGTGTCGTACGAAGAAGTTTGTTGCCCCGATTACGACATGTATCAAGACAATAAGGAATGCGATTTAAATTTTGATTATAATCAATATAAAGCAATGATGATTAAACGTTTTGCATCCGATCTTAAAGCGACAAAGAAAAAAAAATCTAAAAAATCTGTTTGTTTACTCAAAGAAAGATCCGAAGAGGTTTCGATAGATAAATCGAACGAATGGTACAAAGCTTTGACACTAATTGGAGAAACAGAAAAAGGACATCAGGCTTCCGTCAGTTGCTTTTTGAGAAAAAGAAAGAAAGCCCTGTTGAAAATTTGCAACGATGATCCAGAATTTGCAAAAATCATGCTCGGTTGTCCACTCAATTGAAAATTAAGTAAGTTTTTTTTCCTCTTTTTTGCTCTTTTTTGATGAATGATACTTTTATAACGTTACCAAATTATTATTATTATTTTGTTAATAATCGCACGCAAAACATTTATTAAATGTTATCTCGTGACATCAAGTAAACCGTAAAAAAAAATCTTTTCCCCATTTTTTTTTTTTTTCACAAATCTAAATAATTAAGTTAATTATTATTATTATTATTATTATTATTATTTTTTATCTCCGTCACGCAATTTTATGACTTTTGTCAATAATAATTGAATTGATAAAATCGTTTGATTATCGCATAAAATAATTTTTTTTTGAAAAATTTTTGAACGCGTGACATTTTTAAAATAAATTTTGTCATTCAGGTTGAGGACGTGTGGAAAATTTGTCACGGTTTAAAATTTCATTTAAAAAAAAAAGCAAAAAAAATTATTTTAATAGCGTCACTTTTTGTTGCATTATTAACAATAAAATAATTAATTAAATATATTAGTTTAGAAATTTATAAACGGTTTACTCGAAAGATGATGTTTGTAAATGACGTTCCTCGACAAATTAACGAATTTAAATTATTGACATAACTATATAAATAAATTTATCATAATAATAATATTATATCATTTCCATAAATCACGTATCGATACCTCATCAAAATGAAGATGATGATGATGATGATGATTTCCCATCAATAATTATTTGAGTTGCGCAACAGTCAATTTAAATCTTTAACGATGTTAAATTATTTATTTATTTTTGCAGGCGCAAAAAAATTTAAAAAAAAAAAAAAACTCATCCGAAAAAAATGAATAAATTTAAAAGTAATTCAAAATTAAAAAAATAAAAATAATTCATCATTGGAAAATTTATATTTATTATAAAATACGAAATAAAATTACAAAACGGAAATGACCACTGGAATAACATAAAAAAAAAAAAAAAATGTTTGTTTATCAGAGACATCATCCGTCACGGTAAGTTTTCTATTCTAATTACATTGATAACACCGATAAAATACGTTTTTTTTGTTAGTCATAGTTTTGTAATTTAAAATAACACTAAATATTGAAAATAGTAACTAATAATAATTGTTATCGTTAATATTGGTGAGGAGGAGTAGGAGGAGGAGGAAGAGAAGGAGGAAGAGAAGGAGTAGGAGGAGGAGTAGGAGTAGGAGTAGGAGGAGTATAAGTTTTCAATAATTTGCGGTTGTTTTTATTTGTATTTATTCAAATTACGTGCGGTCGTGATAAGAGGATATGAATGAAAATTTTTTTAATTTTTTTTATCAAAGTTAATAGTAAAAATTAATTTCCGATTTTCAAAAAAAAAAAAAAAAAAAAAATACTTATGTATGTATTATTATTTTTATTTATTATCGTGATAAGTTTTTGATTTGAGTTAATAATCACGTTTTGTAAAAAATATTAATAAGTACATAAGAGAGAGAGAAAATAATGCTTAAGGGAAAAATAAAAAATATTCATTCGGTTGTTCGTTTTAAAAAACAAAAAACATTCTTTTTTTTTTTTTTTTTTCTTATACATAATATTGTTCATTGTCGCCATTGATGGTCGTTTAAACTTTCAAAGTAATTTATTTATTTTTATTTTTGCTTTAGGTAAATGATAATAATAATTATATATTTATTTATTAGTTTTAAATCAAATCGTGTTTTAGCTTTCGGTAACAAAGTGGAAAATGTTTTAAAAGTTTTTTTTTTTACTTCCGATAATTCCGTATCGTAAACGTAAACAAACATGTTTGTTGTTTAAAAACAAAACAAAAACGTCGCATTTGAAAAAAATGATATATAATAAATTTTATTTTATTAATTATTACGTTTATTAAATTAAATAATAATTAATTTTTTTTTGTTATTTGTTTTTAGAAAGTATGTTGATTTCGCTGAAGTGTTTTCGTTTAAGCAGTCGACGGAGTCGAGTAATTATTTTTGGATTTTTAGTGGTATTCGTAATGACACAATATTATTCGGATATTATAAACAATTATTTTTTAGAGAGTAATAAAATATTAACAGGAGAGAAAACGGCGGAAAATTCATTACGTAGATATTTGATAAACACGTCCGGATGTCGGATTCCATATATAAATCCATTCGATAAAACAGTTTTAAAATATTACAAATATGTTCCTCCACATATGTGTAGTGATAGAAAACCTTTGATTGAATCAAATCAAACATCGATTCGCATTGTTAAAAGCGAACTAAAGAATTATGATGTGAAAAATATAAAGGAATTACTTTGCGGTTACGTGGAATTTTCAGTAAATAATAAAATCCAACAACAACAAGTTAAAAAATCTTATGATTACGGTTTAGAAATTTTATTATTATTATTAATATTATAAATGGTGATAATAGTTTAAATTAATTTTTTTTTGTTTGTTATTGTTTTTAGAAAACAGAAAAAGGTTTCACTCTTTCGAGGATTCAGTTAATATTTATTCAGAATTCATTCAAGTTTTGTGCTTTTATGAAATGAAAAAAATTTATGAAGATTTCCATACTTTTATTATTCCGAAAAAGGCAAAGTTTGAAATTGATCCAATAAAAAAAACAAAACGGGATAACGACGATGATAATTCCGAAGTACGTACATAACTTATTACTCGAATTGTTATTTGCATTTTTTTTTTTTGAAAAAAAAAAAAAAAAATTTTTTTTTGTTTTTTTTCTTCCAGAAATTATCGGTTATAATCCTCGGTGTGGATTCCCTTTCTAGATTAAATTATTTAAGGCAAATGCCTAAAACGAACGAATTTATAAGATCGCATAAGCCATTTGAATTTTTCGGTTATAATAAAGTAGAAGACAACA